TGGCCACCCGTGTCACTGGTTCCAGCACCAGTTGGGGGACCCAGCCAGCTGACATTGCAGAGTCACCAACATATTTATTAACGACTGTTACAGATGAATGTAAACCTGCCCTGGTGGGGGGCAGCAGGGCCAGGCTGTGCCCCCCCAGGCGTGGCACCGTGAGGGGATGGGGCAGCAAGGGCCACCATCAGGTCCTGGGAGGGTTGCAGGTGGTAGTGGGGCCCCAGAGGGGTGGGACAGGCACTGGCAGGATGTGGGGGGATCCGGCAGGAGGAGGGGTGCCCAGGGAGAGGTAGGGGGGAACGGAGGTGGTGCCCAGTGCCCCGGGTGCAGACCAGCGTCGTGGGGGGGCGGGGCTTGTACTAATTGAGCACAATAAAGCAGAGGTTTCATCCCAGTGTCCTGCCTTTGCCCGGGGGAGCACTGGTGTGGGCTGCCCAGTGCCAAGAGGGTCAGCACGGTGGGGCTGGGGAGTGCCAGGTTCTGTGGGGACATGGTCAGGGCCAGTGGGTTTTCCCCACTTTTACAGCTTTCGTTTCTGGAAGATGGAAACTGAAACTTGGCAACTTTCCCCAGTGTCACCAGCCTTGCACTTAAGGCAGTGACATGAGGTAAACTCGGGATTTGCTGCCTCCTACTCCCTGCAGTAGCACCAGGGACCCTGGTGGCACTGGCACCAGCCACATCCCACTGCCTGGGGTGACATCAGGCCCCCCTGGTGCCAGGGCACTGGCTGTGCCCCAGCCTGGACCCTCAAGCCCCCCACATGGGCACAGACAGGGCACCTCTAGCCCCTGGAAGGGGCCTGGTGCAACGTCCCTGTGGTGGTCACCCAGGGAAGACTGTGGGCAGGAGACCCTCATGGGGCTGAACACAAGGGCTGGGCAGGGGACCAGAGCCACCTTTGCCTGACAGTGATAGGGCAGTGGCCCGAGAAGGTTTCATCCTCTACCTGTTCCTGCCTGCAGCAGCTTTGGAAGTGTGTTTTTCCTGAGGGCCAGCCAACATGGGGCTAGCATCCCTTGCCCCACCAGGCAGCACCATTGCTCTGGTGGCACCACCCCTATGTCCCTTGGCCACAGCAGCAGCTGATGGCATTGAGATGCACTCCCTCATGCCAAGGCCTCCCCTTAACCACCTATCCCCCCATGCCACATGGCACCATCCCAGATCCAGTGAGCAGCACAAGGAGCTATCAAGACATTTATTTCTAGCGCAACAGGGGGGGGCACAGGGGGAGTTACAGAGGTCTGAGCTGGGGGCAAAGCTCAGGAGGGTGAGCAAGCAGGGAACTGGGAATGCCTAGGGCCTGTGCCCCCCACCCCGGAGCTTCCCGAGCAGGTAGATGGTGCTCCTGGGCTGAACTCTGTAATGTGCCAGTGTGTGCTGGTCCTCCAACTCCTGTGAGTCGTACTGCAGGCGCTGCTGAGGAGGGGGAGGCCCACGCTGTCTGTGAATCATCTCCTTCAGCTGCAGGACCGTTAGGGTGGGCAGCACCCTGTAGGTGGTGGTCTGATTGCCCTTCACAAAGATCTCCATCTCCTTGGGCTCGATCTGCAGCAGACTCAGCATGGTGTTATAGAAGATGCCATGAGTGGCCAGGGTCTCACTGTCCTGCAGGACAACGGTGGTCCTGCCTGCCTCCTGCCATGCCAGGCGCTGCCTGTGGGGGGAGATACCACACACCTTCTCGATCTCCTCCTTCAGCTGCCAGATGGTGATGCTCGGGCTGACAGTCTTGCTCAGTCTGATGCCTGTCAGCTGCCTTACCTCAATCTCCACAGGCCGGGCTGGCTGTAGGGGAAGAAAAGGGAGGATGCAAAGCA